ACGGTTCTACGTTGTGTGAGTACCTACTATTTTGTATTTCTAATTTATTCACATTTTCACCGTGTTTTCTGGCTTCCATTGACTTAGAATACTGCTTGTGAATAAATAGAATCATAATCTATATGTGTTTATTTATAACTTATTATTTACTCGGAGTTCGGTTGAATGATACAGGATCAGTACCACTTTAAATTAATCTAGTCAGCAAAATATTCTAACATTTAGCTTTAATCATTTTCGTGTTAGCTTCTTACCTACAAGTAATACTTTTAGTTTTGTGTAATTCATCTAATTTAAGTAAGTTAAAATTTAGTTTTAAATGTTTAAAAAAACCAAAATTTATCACTGAAAACTTGGTTGGTTTTTTATTTTTTAAATCATGTAAACTAAATTATTATTAAACGTTTAAAGATATTTTTCTAATTGTAAGTAAGTCAGGGTACTCAATTTACGAATTCAGTAATTTAAACAACCAAGATGCATCATGTAATTTCCTTCTTTTTTCAAGTAAGACAGTACCATATTGACTCATTAGTTGTCAAGAGTTAACCAATTTTGTTTGTTTTAAATGCATGTACTCGCAAGAACCTATTTTACACACGCTCTATTTTATTTACTAAACCACCTTGATATGGGTTCAAAATTACTGAACCGTACTCTAGTATAGAACGTACTAGAGTAAAGTATAATATTTTTAAACAATATTGAAATTGTTTACTCTTATTATCATATAAAAAGTAAAATGTGCAACAATTTAAGTAATAAGCAAAAAAGTAAACTAAATCCATGGATTACACGACGTGGCTTAATTTAATCAGAACTAGGAGGACAATTTTTAATAAAACGAAAATGCAACAATTCATTGTAATATGTAATAAAGTAGTTTATAAAGTATAGTGATTTATTGAATAAGCTAATGTATATGGCAAAAAACATGTGTTATGGTACTAAAATTATTAATTCACGAAATAATTTTGAAATAGGTAGTTTGGCATCTAATAAAATATTATATTATATTATAGAAAAATAGAAAAAATGTTAGTGAAATAATAGATGACACGAGGAAGACTGTTGACCTTTCTTAAACTATTGTCGTGATGCCCCTTTAAATCGCAAAATGCGACTAGTAAATAAAATTATATTGATTTATATGTTAAAAATTCGTTAGAAACTTTTGTTAATTATTTAAATAAACCAATTGTGTAAATATTGTTTATCTTTATCTATTATTTTGTGTTATTGAAATCCATTGTATTTGTCAGCTATTATGTTAATCTGTATACTTTTATTTTTGTGTAAATTCTATATTTATGTTCCTATTCTTCTCTTATTTGTAATTTGGTATTAACCCGTTTAAAAATACAATAAATAAATCAATTGCTCAACGATTACATTAATGGGATTGAATGCAGGAATTCATGTTATTATGGAAGTCGATTGTTGAATAACTGATTCATTTACTTCAAAAAGACAAAGTTGAGCAAATAAAATAAGACTTAAACACAATTTTAAATGAAATATCATTAGTCGATTTCTACATTAACCTAGAAAAGTGGCCGATTTAGTCAAATATGTTTACATAATTCATATCTAACCATCCTGAGTTGGCCTAAAATGTCCAACACACAGGCCACTTCAACCTCCTCAAGATGGGTCAAAACATATTCACTGGAATCAAACTTATAAATTTTACAACAGTTTTTGGGTACATACATTCTGACTTAAGAGTATTTTCTTCAATGTCTAATAAGTAAGCATGCTGTTCCCAATACATGTTCAATCAAGATCGTCAATGTATTATTTTAACTTCAAAATATCTATTTGTATCATAACCCTTTTTTGTGACATACGAAAACCCTTTAGTAAAACGTTTTTTTTTAAATTAACTTTGAAATTTATAGAAAATACTTTACATTTTTTATGTAGTCTTTGAGCTACTAGGGAGGGTATTCTAGAGATGGGCCCTCCCTCCTTTAATTATTACACCTATGGATTTGTATGGGAAAATCGATAGCCATACTTAAGTTTAGGCTACTATTTGTTTTACGGACTATTAAAGGCAGTAGTTGTAAATAAATAAAATATTTATGTGCGCGAATCGTATGCAAATAGTATATCCGATTAGATAAAATTTTCAAGTTTTGACTATTTGCTATGACCTTTGAATTTTCGACGTAAAATGTAACACTAAGATGAGGACAAAAAAAAAAAAATTTGTAATTCGAACATCGACAATTTTATGTATTGTTTTTGTCGTTCGATCGATGTATTTTTTCTGCTTAAAATTTATAAACATTAAAGGATGGCAAAAAAAAAAAATAACTAAAACATTCTCATGTGTGTACAAGTGCCGAAAATGTATGCTTTTCGAAAATATTTTCGATTTATTATAACCTTAGCATTTTTAGTGTAAAAAGTTTTACCAACAAAATTACACACGGAAAACCCCGAAATTTCAACAACCCTCCCTCCTCCTGGGAAAAAGGCTGAATGTTTTTAAAACTTGTTTGGCGCAATTTTGAGCTTTAACAACTAACAAGTCAAATTAATTCCAAATTTTTGTGAAATTTAAACAGTTTCCAGAAAAGATAGAATTTTTTTCTTTATTTCACTTTTTGAAGCAAAGTTTTAGGGATTAGACCGAAGGTATATTATCTAGAATGAAACTATAACGTATACAATTTTCTACAAAAATAGCTGTGATCAAACTTATTTTATATTATGGAAAACCCCACCACAAAAAGGGGGAAAATTACACTTTTACCGTAGTCAATTTCCAGGTTGCTATGTGTAAGTGAGTAAATAGATAATGGAAATATTTCATTATATTGTTAACAACGATATATGGGTTATTATAACAATACATTTATATAGAGAGAACCTATTTTATATTTGTGACCAATTTACAAAGATAACATAATGCTTGAACTCTGCTTTCTTTTTTACTTTTGTTCAACTCGGTTTGGAATCAAGTCCTTTAATGTGTAAAGGCTTAAGTGTAATTGTCATTTAAATGTATTGTAGTATGTTAAGTATGTAATCAGTGAATGTACAACTAACAAACTGAGAGCATTCACTTGTTTTTCGTTGATATATAACCATATAATGAACCATTTAATTCTTTAGTCACTCTTACATTATAGATTCCAATACAGAAGAGTAGTTTTATCTAACGGCTAAAAATTGTTAAATTGAATTTTTTTTATTATATAGTCAATGTCAACTGGTTTCACCAGATGTGAATATAATAATATGTCTAGTAATATGTCTAAGAACGCCTCAAAATGTTTTGTGCCTGGTTGTTTATCAAGAAGCAAGTTATCTCTAAATATGCTCTAAATAATACTATCTAGTAATTTTCCATTTGAAACAGCTTAATAAAATAAAATTGCAGCTCGTACAGGTACCTAGTACAACCAATAATAACAATTAATCTATGGTAATTAAATTAATCATATTCTATCAATTAACATGACTATGTTAAGATAAAAATATGTTTGTTGGAAAATGTGGACCTGAATAAATAATAAATTTAAAATACTAACAGTCAGTTTTTACAGTATTTAGTTATACCAGTTGGAATAAATTGTTACTTGAAAAAACAGGTACTTACCAATGTCTTTTTTTTTTCTATAGGCATACTCGTTGTAGGAAATAATGTCATAGAGTAAAAATAATAATTTTTTCGAGTAAACATTTCTTTCTTATAGTTTGTCATACATCCACTTTTTCCAATCGCCATTTTTCTACAGGAAAAATATTTACTGGAAAAAGTGGATATTGGTAAAAGTTGTAGCAACCCGTCGTTCGACATTATTTTGGTGATCTGATTAATCTCATTTAATCGGTGTTTTTTTTATCATACATACTATTTAAAATGATGTATTCGTTCAACCAACGCGTTGTAAATGAATCAAAAACGTCTTAATACGAGGCATATTTTAGTAGCACAGCTGCGATATAATATAAACTTTGGTTTTATTGAATTTCGCTTAACGCGATAATATGTAATAATTATTGTGTTAATACTTGACTTCAAAACGGAATATAATATGTGTTATAATTTGATTGTCTACTACCGACCGATGTATGTTATTAACGGTATTTCGTCTGATGTTGAATGATGTAATTTATTACAGTCAGTTGTTGATTTTGCCTTGAAGTGTTTGGATAGCTAGCAACACTCGATCCTGTATTCGTTAAAAATGTGCATAGTTGCACTACACTTATACAAAAAATATAGGTTAACTTTAAACATTTATAAATTAAAACACTACAGAATTGTTTACCCAAATCGATTTATTTTCAAATAAAAACAGTTATTATTTCGCATTCGTTAGTGTTTCAATATTATTATTAAAAAAAATAACAGACAGTCGTAAACGTAGTATTCAAGGTCTCTCCGGTCACTCAATAACAACTGTAATGAATCTAGAGGTATGCATACCGTCAATTATGGTGATTCGGCGGAAACCTTAATTGTCTTGCGCGTGTTAGGATCGCACCGGAAACCGAAGTCGTGGTAGAAATTTTTTATGTTGTCCTCCTTAGCCGTAGTGTCGAGTTCAGAGGACAGGAATTCCCACAGACTGATTTCTCGTTCGAATGTGGGTTTCAAATGTTCGTACAGATATTTTAAGTTTTTTTTGTTCGGCGTGAACTGAACAGTGCAAACCTTGCCTATGAATTGCTTCATCGCCAAGGAATAGGTGGCAATCGCGGTGTTAAACGAATCATATACATCACTCAACAATTTCGACGTGGTGTTGGCATCCAGAAACGGCTCCAAGAGGAATTTGTGGGTTTCATAGATAGCGTCCATTTGCGTTATCAGTACATACAGGCTAAACCCAAAAACCGTTTAAACGTGTAGAGCATAATACAGTGTACTCGCTATAACATTGCGAATCGAGTGGAGGGAATTTGTATGGATCATATTTTAGTAGGCATACCACTATCCAATAGTAGACTGCGACGAGGGAAGTTTTTCGTTTAATTATACATCTGAAAGAGAAACTCAGTTTAATGTTACACCTAAGAAATCCTATTCATAAATATCTAAAAAAAAAATATAATAAACTGTAAAATACTACCTATAAGTAAAAAAAACGGTACAGTTTGGGCGGAGCATAGTTTAATCATACAATATCAAATTTAAAACTTATAACCCATAATTGAAGCACTCCCAACGAAAATTCGTTTAGAACAAATTTAATATAATTCAGCAAAAACGTATAAAAACCTCTTTAGCGTTAATGAATAGTTACACGCTCCTTAAACGTCAACTTGAATAACTCCGCAACGTCCAACATTCCGTCGGCTAAAAAGTAAAATATTTTTAGTATATTATATTTGTTATTATATGTTTTATGCTAACCTGTGTCAAGGTCGCGAAGTACATTGCACAAAAGAATAACAGCACTTTTGAAATGCATAATGGTTGTTTATTTTTCAAACACTTTGTTAAACCAGAAGTAAGTCTTCAATGCCAAAGTTGGGTGAACAGTGAAATTCGAATCGACTCGGGGTACTTTCATTTGGTGCAAATGATAAAAACAACATAATTTTAGAAATAGAAAATATTGGTAGATAGTGGTTGTTCGTTTAATTTTTTTACATGCTATACACTTAAAGTAATGTTTTCGACCCAAATATACAGTTGTAAGCACAGTGTAACCTAAAAAAACAATTTATTTTAACTTATGTGAAATGGAATAACAATATATTTGTATATTTTTTTTTTTTAAATCGCACAAACACAATATAGCGAACGACGAATGTTATTAAATCTTCATAGAAGATACTTTGCGATTACACATTTTACTCAAGAGATGAGAAAATCCTTCTAAAATAGCGAACGATGAACGTTATTAACGGCTTGTGGCATCTGCTGGTTACTAGGTCAATGATGTATTTTTAACCCGGCCGGCTACAATGGTGCGGGGAGCATAGGATTTTACCAGCTGCCTGTAAGTGTGGTGTGCGGTGTGTTCAACCGGTAACCCAGAAAAAAACTGCATATATACTAATGTGAAATAAAATAACAATATATATTTATTTGCTTTACATTCACTTAAAAACAAAAACAATATAGCCATCGATAAATGTTATTAAATCTTCATATAATAACATTATTCGTTCAAATAAAAAATAATAATTTCCATACACTAAACTAAGCGATTACATTCATTCAAGGGAGAAAATCCTTCTAAAATGTGTACATAGTCACCAAACTTATCCAAATATTACCAAATTTATAATATATTGGTGGATAGCTGTTGTTTTTTGTTTTAGTTTATTTACATACCATATACTTAGTGAGTTGTAAATACAGTGCAACCCAGAAAAAACAAAACTACAAATATGACTTGTAGGTAAGAAGCTAACTCAATCTTTTAACCAACACATAAATATAATGTGTAATAAATCTCTTTGTGTATTTGGTTCTATAAGGCGAAATTGTTCGGAATTTATTGTTAAAAATCATATAAAAAAAAAAAAAAAATCAACCAGCTTTGTAAATAAATCAACATAGTCACACTGCAAAAACCTATTAAATTCTGATTTTTCTGTCGAAAAGCCCATCTATAAGTCGCAAAACGAACATTTAGTTTCAAAAGCGGATCAAGTCGATTATTGTCTAAGAAATCCTATCAGCTCAACAATTATTTTAGAAAGTATTTCTATCAAACTCTAAAAATTATAATTATTTATCTTATTGAACCAAAATGTATAGTGTAAAAACAGTAAGTAATAAGTTTTTTTTTAATGATAGTTATTTGGTTATCGGGTCTTACAACGGTGTTGAGCGAACGGGTTTCTTATAATATTTTTTACTAAAACTGATACAATTATTGCGTTTTACACAATCCACATTTTCAAGACAATTCTAATATAGATTTTTAATTTATACATAGTAGGTATTGAAACTTATAGTTAAGATGAAATATATAAATCATTTTGCTAAATATTGATTTTTTGAATTAGGGCAGAGGAAATATTTTTTAAAATATATTTTTGTAAGTTTAGATTTTTGTGTACAGGGTGTGCCACAAAGAACTGACAAATTAAATAACTTTTGTTCTAGTATATATGTTTCAGATTTTTTTTAATTAATTAAAACTCACCACGATTTTTATATTGCTCTTAACTGTTTTACTTTTTAAAATTATTTTTAAATTTGTTTAGTTACTTTTTTAAAAATTATGTATATTTAGTTAATACCTATCTCTAGTTTGTATTTTGAATAGTGTAACCTAACATTTTTACAATAGTATTTAAATAGTTAACAGAGAACTATTTTTATATTTGTAAATCTTAATTAGGGTAAACTCAATAAAATGTTTGACAAATAAAGTAATTTTATAGTAGACCACGGACCAGGAAATATTGTGGTCTTGTAGAAAAATGTATATACAAAAGTAAACTATATAATAAACCTATTTATATGTACCGCATAAACAACGGTCACGCATAACCAATACCTTCTCATCTTGGTAGCACCGAAGGCAACTGTGACTAATATAAATTTATTTTATTTTTATTATTGATTGCAGATAACAATGCAATTTTTCTGTTTTTTAACATTATTTGTACTTGTTAAAGCAACGGCAAATGAAGGTAATTATTTTTTTTCACAATTTCCAACTTAATACAGTTATAAATTTAAAAATAAATTCAATACTTTTTTTTGCAGCAAGCTGTAAGAGGGAAGTTTTTCTTGCAAGTTAGTAATATATTTTGTTTGATAAAAAAAAGTTTATTAGGTTCTTGAATTCGATGTGTTAATACATTTTTTTTTAATTATGTATTACAGATGAAATGATCCAGCTTGCGTATAATAAGAATGATTTTATTGTAGGAAATAATTCTAGAACAAGTAAGATATGCATATTTACAATTGATAAGGCAATATAAAAGTGTTTTGTTATGTGTACACAATTGTCATGATCTTTGTTAATTAAAATGTACAGTTTCTATAATTAGTTTAATAAGTACACTAGGTATGTAGAACCAGTGTACAGAACATTGTATTTAAAGTAGCTTAGGTTTAATAGCTACCTACGTACTAAACATGGTTCAATAATATTCTGTTAATTATACAATTTATATAGTACTTACCAACTTTAATTTTATTTCAATATTTTAAACCTTTGTCTACTATTCTAGATGGATTGGAGCATGTAATTGAAAATATGGTTAACGATGAAAAATATTACGAGAGTTTCGGTAGCATAATTACAACAATATTAAAGTTAAAAAATAAAATGATAAAAGTAGAAATTTTTTTATAAAATTGTAGTTTAAATTTATCTTTATGCGTAATAAATATTCGATTTTTTTCCGAAATCAAAATAGAATCTTTTTGAAAAAAAACTAATGTATGCTTAGTCAACCAATCTACTTGAATTATACAGCCATTATATTTTCATTAAGTTATCCTAGTCTATTTAATATATGTGTTTCTACTTTGACCTTTATCTTCCAATTTATAAATATATATAATGTAATAATTGATGATAGCAAATCAAATCTAATATCATTAATTTACATAATGTCGATTTCAGCCGAAATGAATATGATGATCGCTTCACCGGGTAAAAGTTTTCGTTAAATTTTATTAAAATTCTTCTAATATTTCATTTCTATGTAATTTTTAAAACGATTTCCATCCGGTTAAGCTCATTTCTTCCGAATTACTTATACGCTTGTCTTTCTGTGATAATAATAGAAATGCAATATCATTAATTCATGTAATGTTAATTTCAGACAAATTTTGCCTTTTAAAACATATACCGGGTAATAATTTCCAATGCACGTTATAACAGTGTTTACGCGAAATTGTTTGATAATTATTATAAACAAAATATTTTTTTTTTAATTTCAGGCATGGAAGGCCAACACCCTTTTACAAGTAACCACATTTATTTATAAAATATACTTAACGAATAATTATTGTTTTTAAATTCTTTGAGAATAACCTATAATACGTGCCTATTGACGAATACCAATGAAACATATTATTATATAAAATATGTAGGTACATTAATATATATTTTATTTTAAATTTTAGGGTGCGTGTTTTACCAGGATATGATGCAGTTTGACATACATAGTACATTAAGTAAACATAACATTTAAAAAAATGATAATTAGATATATTTGTGGTCTTATATTAGTAGGTTTATGCTTAAGTTTACGATGATTATTCGAAGAATGATATAAACCGTTCAAACGTAGCTGTTAGAAATAAATTAACATTTATACAACCATATTTTTCATTAATTAATTGGTCTCATTTATCTCAGTTTTAGAGTGACCATTATATATAAAACATAAAATTTACAAGGTTTTATTATTTTTTTAATGATTTTATTGTTGATTATTGTATTTGTTTTAGAAATCGATCGTGCCATAGCTGCTTTCGGCCAAAGTAATTACGAATTTATTGATAATTGTAAATAGCCTTAAAGCTTGTTTTAGAGGTAAAATTAGGGAGGCATATACGATGAATATTTTCGCTCTACATCAACCTAAATTTGACTACAATGTTAATGTATAATAAGTTCTTTGGGATTTCAAGTATAGAAAGAATACATTCGTTGGGTATGACTGGTTGTACAAACAAATATAATTATATCACAACCATTTCAAATGTAATGCAATTTTGTAACACGACCAACTAACATATTTTTTATTTTTTATTATTTTTTCGCAAACCCGTCATTTAAATATTTTCACAGATTTTGGAAGCTTAGATTTGAAAGACCTTGCAGACCAGAGAAGAAGTCTTGTTAAAACAGCTTTGAAAAATATATTCAAACGTAAATTAGGTAAATATTACTGTGGAGTTGAATAGATTTCGAACCATTCATATATTTTTATAGACGATAGTGTATATATATTTTTTTATAAAGTATCTAATAGAAATAATTTTGGAAATAATTCACTGCATTATAACAAGGATACAACTATTTTCAATTTTTAACAATTATCCTACTAAGTGATGACTACTAACAATATATACTTTCTTGTATTACAAATGGCATGACTGTACAATACGGACACCATGCATATTTTATTATTTTGTCATGACTTTTTTTTTAACAAATAAAATAGATGTGTCCTGCACCATGAAGAAAAGTAGAAATCATCGACAAATACCAACATAATACTTTGGTTTCAATAATAAATAATATGAATGTACATTAAAACATATTTTGTTTTGATTTTAGGACCCATGTATAATCAGTTTATGACGGAACTAGAAATAAGAGATACAAAAAGTAAATATAAAACTTTGAATACTGATAATTAAACATTTTTGTAGTTCTAATGAAAAACTATAAAAGTCGATTTAAGAGTTAATTATTAAGCTATACATAGGTACTGTGTGGAGCATGCAGGCCCCCTAGTAGCGCCTTTTGGTGTCAGAAAAGTGAACTAATTTTGGCTTCAATCGATAAGCGTTAAAACTAAGCCTTGTAAAACAGCTGTCTATCTGAAAAGTGATAAGATGTATCATTGTTGCCAACCTATCCTAACCTAACATCACATCGTATCGCATCATAACATGTTTATACTTTTCGCTACTGCTAAAATTCAGACGTTAGGTCATTTTATCGGTTATTTAGTACAATGCGTCGGTCGCGTGTAGTATGAACACTTTTAAGTCGTTTTCAGAAAACTCGTTTTTATTCGGAGGTTTGTGATAAGTTGACAAATTCCAAATTACATAAAGTACATCAAAGAAGAAGAAGCAAAAAAACAATATATATATATATATATAAAATATTATATTTAATATAATAAAACTTAAAATTAAAATATTTTTTATTATTTCTTCTCTACACAGCCATATAATAAATATTTTCGTAGATTTGGTAGGATCAAATTTGGCAACCCTTGCAGAAAAGAGAAGAGGTAATGGAACATCTCTAGAAAGTAAAATCAGACGGCGTGTAGGTAAGTTTTAATATGGAGTTGTATGAGTAACTGTTAAGTTCTATGAAATAAATACACCGGGTTTTATTAACTGCATAATGATTTGATGTATTTGTTACAGGAAATGATAATCCTAAAGTTGTTGAAGACCAAAGTAATTACTATTTTTTTCATAGTAAATAGCTTTTAAAGATTGTTTTAGAGTTGGAATTTATAATAAAGCGTTACAGAGTATTAACTAGTAAGTTATTACAAGCAAATTAAAAAAATAAAATTATTTTTTCAGATAGATCACCTCTGCATGTTTTCTTATCACGGTTGTGTCGTTTGACAGGGTTGTACATGAGTACACAATTTCCAAATCCATGCATACAAGAACTTTCGATTGACGCCCATAATTATACTTGTACCCTGAAAGATGGAAGTAAAGAAATAATATTTACTATAGAAAAAGAATTAATGAAGAATAGCTCAATTCCAGGAGTGTTGTGAATATAACTTAGACCACGAACCAATGGTGTATCTTCTAAAAATGTAATATACTATTTTTATTTGATTGTAATAATATTTTCATATAGCACTAATAACCTATTTAATATTACATTTATAACTTATTTAATAATAAACCGTTTTTACTTACGATTATCATCACATTTGTTGCTTTTGTGCAGATTTATACATATACCTAATACATTTTACATTATTCATTATACAGAACATATTATTCGTATCATTTTTAAAAATAAAATTGTTTTCATCCCCTACATCTATCGCCATTTATAGTTATTTCTTCGGCATTATATTTTATTCTTAGTAAGCTGTAAATCGTTTCGCACTCCAACCTTCTATACCTATAAAACAAACAGTAAAATAATAATCATAAGACTCTCTTCACGTTTAAACTTATCTGTGGCCTCTCGGGCATATTTGATATGAACACAATTAGGTACAAATAAAAACAAAAAATACAAATAAAACTATACACTAGTTGTACCGCTGAGTTTAGAAAGCGCACATGTCCAATTGTCTTTTGGCAACATTAGGTATGAGAAGCCAAGCGATTTTGTTCCTAAAAGTTTCTCCCCTTTTAGGGGAATGGACTTATGATATTTGTTTAGTTGTCCAAGGTAACTAATACGTTATTTAAAGAATATTCCATACAAATGTATAGCTACTTCGGCTATTGTTAAAAAAGTTACACTCAGTGATCTATTAAAACAGAACTCTGTAGAGAAATTATCCAAGAATAAGCTAGGAAGATGTCATAACAAAATATGTTGAATAGTTGGGTTCTAGGTGGTTCTAATTGGAGAAACTTAGCGTTGGACAGAGAAGCAAAGAGGCTTCGTTGTGAGACGGGGTGTTCCTAAGGGCCTAATAAACCCAATGAGAAAAAAGAAGAAGAAGACTATAATATTTAAATATTTTATAGTAGAACATACTACATAATACTGACTATAAGAACCAAAAGCGGATTTAGGTATAATATCGATTCGGTCCACTAGTTACTTAGAAATTAGCCTCCGTTTTGAGTAGGTTATTAATTTAATTGTTAATACTTTCGATTGTTTTAGTGTTCATAACCCCGTGGAATTCTGATAACCGTCTTGTTTTAAAAATAAATCGCGCCATCTTAAATATTTTTTCATGGCCATTTATACAATTTTCTTTTTATAGAATCGGGCACTCGAAATAAAATATGGTTTCATCATAGTTCTTAGACGGTATGAGCACAACAAGTATTTTTTAAACCTAACCTAAGCTCGCTTCAAAGTACTACACCGCCGAAGCGGGAATTGTTTTTATCATTTTACTCCTCTCAAACCCAAAAGAAATATCAAACACTACCAATACAAAGTTTGTTTTTATTTTTATAACGTTTTTATGAACTCACAATCTTGTCCATATTTTACTCATGTTAAAAAGACGGGATTTTGTATAATATCGAATTCTTGACTTGCCGAAAACGCAAATATTTTCGTTTTAGAAAAACACTCGTGACATTCGTTGAAAATGTACACATCGTTTATATGAAATATTTTTACACGTTCAACAAATAAAAGTAAACATTATTTAAATACCTATATTGAGCTTGCGTTATAAAACGTCGACTTGTACAGAGTTGTTAGGATTTCCTAAAATTGTGAAAAAACAACCATATGTAAAAATCATTTTTGGTTTCTATCATAAAACGATATTTTAAGGGCGTTGTAATTTTTTCTCCCTTATGGCCAAGGATAATAATAATATAACCGGATAGTGGAGACGAAGGAAGAATATAGAGCTGGAAACAATAGACATTTCTCGACGAAAAAAAGCGTTGCGAAATAAATAAATGTTGACACGATTTACAACATGTGTTTTATCTTCTATCGAATATTGCGTCGTTAATGTAAACGAGGGGAAAAAATGGTATTAATACAAATATCGACGAAAACAAAGAAATCGGTGGCCTAACTAGGCCTATATTATATACCGAGTGAGCAAATACGTTATAACGAAATTACGGTTAGGTCAGGTTATTTCCCAGCTGTTTATTCAATATTTTTATTTTAGTGACTAATTGCAATTAAACAGCAATTAACGATGTAATACAAGCTAGTAATGTCTTTAAAAAAAAAAAATGGTAAACCAACGAGGTTTGACCGTTTGTTTTATCTCCAGCTCTAATAATAATTTTGTTATTATTCATAATTTGTAAAATAATATATTATAATTTGGTAATGGGTTAAATAGGCACGGTTAGCTACTTGCTGAGATTGATTAAGATTTTAATTTTACACATTTACTTTATCCTAACCAATCCGATAAGCCGTCAAATCAATTAATTCGGGGTTATATAATAATTTAGGTCTGGTCATCGTTTTAGATTATGTATAATTAGCATTGAAATGAAATTAAATGAATGTGCATTATTTTGTAAAAATCAAACATTTTGTTATGCACAGCTAGTGAAACCTGCGTTGAGTACTATGTAGGTATAACATGATTTGTATTACTTATTCGGACTTAATAAGAAATAAAAATAACGGTTATATATTTTGAGGTAGTTGTTTAAAACACCTGGACTAAATCTAATCTACGAATTAACAACGAAGTGGTACTTCTAACGATTTGATTACAAACCACTGCAATGAACAAAAAAATAACGTAGATATTATGTATGTGCCAATGAGTAGGAAATAAAACATGTTGTGAAACGATTGAAATTCTTTTATCGACCACTTGGATCATACGTATCTTCTAGACTTATTGTTGTTAGATTATAATTACTTAAGCCTTACATATTTTCTTTGTGCTGTAATAAAAGTATTTGTAACAACCCCCCCCCCCCCCAAAAAAAGGTATATATTTCAACACCTAAAATCGGTTAAATGCAGACACTTTTTAGTTGTAAAACGATTAAACATTTTTTTTATCATCCACTTGGAAGACAAGTACGTCTAGGCTTATTGTTATAAGGTCAAATTACCTACGTCCTACTTATTACCATGGCGTTGTAAAGAAATATGCTTACAATTCAAAATTGAAAAAAATGTACCGATATTTTATATAATTTATAATTATAGCCATGAAAATATACACTTTCCAATATTTCATAGTACAGGGTGATCCATTTAGCGTACGACACTGGATTTCTTTAAAAATAACTACAAAATTGTATTTTGTGATTTTTTTTTTTTTGAGACATTTATTTTAATGTTATTATACAAAATTAAACAATATTGAAATTTGTATCGTTTTGGTAGGGTACTTTCAACTTTTGAAAATTAAATGGTAACGTATACATTAATTTATTAACATTTTAAATTGAGAACAATTTACTAAACATGTTGGCTGGTCGACAAGTAGTATTAAATAATTATTTTTTAAGTTATAAAAGTTTAAAATTTAAGACCAAAAGAAATGTAGTGTATATTTATTATTTGCACGCGTTACTCAAACGCGTTTTAGTTATTAAGAAAAATCTAAAAAAAAAGGAATAATTACAATATAGACCTGAGACCTCCACCGCCTCTATATACTAGTTCCACAGTACTGCCTTTTCAGTACTTAAGCCTTAGGTGCTACAACTAATGCTACAACGAAACATTTTTTGCTATTTTGATTTGTTAAAAGAGTGAAATATGAAAAAATGTACATTTTGACTACAAAAATTTACATTAATACATCCATGCAAGTTTTAAAAAAAATAATAATTGAATTTTTCGTTGAACGTACGTGTCATACACAAATGACTTAAGAGGACGTCGCAGTCAAATATTTCGAGTACTAAAACACCGCTTCGGACTTCAAATAGTACTCAGAAACTATTAATCGTAGAATAAATCTAAGGATACCTAAAGAAAGCCTGGAATGTCTACTATGTGTGTATAGAGCCATATTTCCAAAAAAAAAATTGTTTACTTATAGTTATTTCAATAAGAATTTTTTCAAACGTTCATAAAACCATTGTAAATAAAGTTATCGAAAAAAACTCTCTATAGGCACATAGAAAAAGTTCTGATCTTTCATATGGTACTATAAACAATTTTCTACCACCAAAAGCGTACGAGTACTATTTGAAGTGCGAAGGGATGTTTTTTGAATTTTTATAATAATTATTACGTCGAGAGCTGGCGCGCCTAGCGGCCAATTTACTACATATCTTTATACGTTCGGAAAACCGGTTTTGGGCCGACTGCCGTAGCGCGGCGACAGCGATAACGTCAACGGTGACACCGCAATTATATTATTACCTGAAGTAAAAACAGATAATCCAATTTTTAACAATCAATTCTCAATAACAAACAAATATTATATTTTACTTGCGCAGCGATACTATTTTATAGAGAATTAGCTGAAGAAGCCAGTCGCTAAGTCGCTTGTATGAAAAAGGTAGCAATTGTAGTAAATTATAATTTGTAAAAATTGTGATTTAAAAAATGGTTTAGGGAACGGGGGGAGGGAGGGGGGTTATTGCACACTGTAAAAAAAATCGGAAAAATATTCAAATACCTCTCCGAAAAACCGAAAAAGTTCAATTTTTATACTTTAGCACTTGGAACGTTTGACAAATTAACTCTTCATTTATACTATAATTTATTTTTCTATATAATTACAATTTATAAATTAAAGAGTTTTACTCATAATATATTTCAATTGTGATATATTCTTCGTATTCTATTTTTTTTTTTATAACAAAGCTAAACTCCGCAATAATGTCGGCGGTGACCACCATAATTTTCGGGCTAACAACAGATAATCTAAGTTTACCTAATTATATTATTTGTAAATATTGTAGAAATATGACTTTACTTGGGAAATACTGTATTTTTGTTGCACAGAGAAGCCACATTTTTATTTTTCCTATTGTGTTGTGTTTTATAGATAAAAATTATAATACAAAATTTACATATGTACACTTTGTTTTTTTATTAAATAGTATTAGATTTATATATAATTATTATTTAATGAAATAAATCATAGAATATTATATATGACCCGTCCAGCACTTAAAGTTTATAACGGATACTCGTACCATTGTACAATTATTATTCTATTGATGAATTTTTATAAACATGTTTTCAATTATTAATTTTTGATTTCTAAATGAATTATCAGAGAGCTGAAATGTTTTACATAAAATACTGATTTTTAATGATTTTGTTTGGTGACCTATAATACTATAAAAAAAACAGTAAAAAATAAAAAAAAAATTAAAAATATTCAATGCGACCATGGCCAATATAGGCTAAGCAAATTTGGAAACACATATTTTATTGTAACAGAAATGCAAAATAAGTATGCTCCAATATAAATGTTAATAAGTAAGTACGCTATACGAGGTACCCAAGTTTATTCTGATATCTGAGAAAATTGTTTATACGCTAAAAAAAAGTAATTAAGTTATCAGAATGATTCAAACTATGATGGGTATTGTATTTTCTACTCTGTCCATTGTTATATAAATGTTAATGAACAGTAGCTGAATGAACCGCCGCCGCCGCGCCGAGACGGAGAATAACGCGATCTCTCGGGAGTTGTATACGTAACACTTTACCTGCGACGTCCTCTTAAGTTGGTCCGATATTTTAAAGATTTATTTTTATCTTTCGAAAATATCGAACAAAAGTTTCAATAATTCTGCGTGTATTTAAATAGGAAACTTCACCGTCATAAAAGGTACGGGTAAATATTGAGTTGGATCAGTGAAACTTTTATGGCCTTTTCTTACTCACTAGCTAACAGCTTAGGACAAACTAAGGGACACCCTCGTATATATTCATTTCATAATTATTTTTGAAGGTATAAATGTGTAACGCAACAGTCGATGCTGATACTGTTTGATTAACTTTATATATTTTTAGTTATTATACTTATGTACACATTTACATACCTTTTATTAAATTTACGATCTTCAAATTCTGTGGTTAAACACCTGTTTTAAAATCATTGCCGGTAATAATTTTCAAACTTTAACCTTGATATGCGCCATGGCGTATTTTTTTCGAGTAAATGTAAATTGGTTTAGTAGTGTTACATTATAGCTATTGTGAGAATAACTTTTACTGTCAGTTATTAACCAGTTTAAAAGTCTCCAAATGTGTAGAAACTGCTTTGATATGGTTGATGGTAAAATAACAAGGTAAAAAATAATAAGTGGGTGTACCTTACAGTTATGTTAGCATTTTGCGCACAATCTAGTGCTTTATATTATTATTGCGACAACTATCAATATGATATTATAAACAACTGGTTATTTCATTCTATTAAACCAGTATAAAAACAAATCTTAATGATAAAACTCCTACTCGAGTGCGCCGACCCTCCAAAAAAGCCACTAATATAATTGTAAAACAGATACATTTTAAGCTTTCCATATAGATCTATCACGGCAAGTCCTCAAATAAAAATTATACATTTATTTATAATTTTGTCTAATAATCTTATTCTAGAATTATTTCTCCCATTACAGATTTACGCCAATTTGATTATTTTAAGCTTATTCTTGGCTTTAATTTATATTTTCCAAATAGACAATAAACACACAAAAAAAAACATTACTTTTATATACGAGTATATAGTTCTAATGAATGTATTAAAGGTATAATAACAAATTGAATTTAATTATTAAAAAGTAATATTATAAGTGAATACCATTATACTAAAACAATATTATAACAAAAACGTTTGAAGTCTCTTCTGCTCTGACAACCAGGTGCTATGTAATCTTTGTGTAACATATTTTACAATGAAGTCCTTCCAAAGTATTAACAAATACAAAAAAAATCAACAACAAAATGTATAAATAATTTTGAGACTAAATTGATGAATTCACAAAAAGGTATTTAAAAAAAAAAAGTATTACAATTGAATACCATAGGATTTAAGAGTAATATCATTGAAAGTAATGATATGACCAGTTGGGGATGATCGCTCTTCTACCCTGTCGACCAATTGCCATTGATTTTTTCCTTTGTCGTATCTTTCACAATGAAGTTTTCCTTCATTATTCCCAAACACGAATAAATCGTTTTTCATGATACTAACACCTGCATTTTATAATATTTATGAGTAAAAATAAAGTGTTATATACTAGATTAAATGTATACAGACTTGAGCAACATCCATGACAATTCATGGGATTCATGACAGTGTTCATGTCAGGCATTTCATCCCATTTGAAATGTTGTAAATCGAATTTAAAAATTTGTTGAGGTGCATAGGCACCACCAATGAGATAAAGGACTTTATTTTTTCTTGACACACCCATGTTATAATTAAATATCGGCATAGGATCGAGTCGTTTCCAGCGTATCTTTTCGAAATCATAGTACTCTACAGTTGCAAGAGAACCATTACTATCACGTCCGCCAAACTACACAAAACAATAAAACTTGATTAAAATGCTTACAAACCATTATAGCTTGTTCAATCAAAGTTGTATAATTATTTTGTAATAAAAATATAATTAGAAACTTGTTTAGTAGTTGGGCATGGTATTTATGGTTAAATTGTGTTTACTTACAACATATAATTTATTATTAAATACTGCAGCACTGCATAAGGCTCGAGCAGTGGGCATTGGTTTAATAATTTCTGTCCATACTTTTGAATTTATATCATAGTATTCTACAGAATTCATATTATTTCTACTTGATAAACATCGGCCTCCAACCTTAATAAAAATATAAAATAACATTTTCTCGTAAATTATGTGTATTCGTTATGTTAACTACAATCGAATTAAAACATACGACATATATGTATTGCTTGTGAGTACAAACAGCAAAATGTATTCGTGGTCGGTTCAATGGCCTTGTAGAAACCCATTGTTTTGATATTGAATTAAGATCAAGCTCGTCTACAATATTTACATCACCATGAGACTCGTTTAAACCACCAATAGCAAGTATTATCCCATTTTCAGAGAGTACCATGTTTGAGCCTTTACGGGGAGGCAAAAAAAATAAATGATCGCTTGATTTCCAATTTAAGTCATTAACGTTGCTAATATCCATATACTTTACAGAGGAACCGCCACTGTTTGAATCGCCGGTAATTGCAAAAATAATCTGAATACACATATATACAAATGTCAGGTGATATAGGCACAACTAGTACATGCTTGTAATCTTGTTTTAAAATGTCTACATACGTTTGGTTCAATTTGAGTACTTCTTCCTAGAGTATAAGATGGTTTTGAGCTGTCGTAAGTAATGATAGTTTCTAACATGCTTTTCGTAACTAAAAAAGTTAAAACAATAATAATATTTATTAAAAGATACATTAATACTATATTTCACCTATAGGCGCTATGGTACATATAAATAAATGGCACAATTTAGATTGAATTCTGTCCTGTTTGGAATATCAACAATATGTACTTACCATCATAATTATTTTTCACTAATGGTTCATCATAAATCCTTAGTAGTCCTTCTTTTGAAATTAAAGCCAAACATAAATATTGCATAAGATCCGGTAACAAGTCATTACGTTCATCTGTGTTATAGCGTATCCAACCAATGATAAAATCAAATATCTAAAATAAATATTATTAAATAACTGTAATAGAACCAAAATTAAAATAATTGTTTTATTTTTTCTTAAGTCACAATAATTTTACCTTTTCCTCAGAATCAATTACTAAATCATCACGTGCAATAAACTCGACAACATCATCAAACTCAAAGTCATAAAGTGTTTCTAATGCTTGATCCGAATTCACAATTGTACTAAAAAAATCTTTGTTTTATTAGTTTATTATTTAAAAAAATGTTGCAATCGTATTTTGGAACTGAATACTCACGTGAAATTGTTTAAAAAATATGCCCAGCAAAAATTGTAAATCTTTTCATCTGATATAAATTTGGAAGTTTTCATTAAACTCACACAATTTGTAGGATTTATATTTTCTTTAATATATTTAAAACATAACTCTTTCATATGATTTAGACCATACATATTAGCAGTCATCAACAGTTTCTACAAAATATAATAACAAGTAAATAAAAATAGTGTAATATTTTATAAATTGTATATCATATTGCATATTTCGTACTTCACAATTGTTTTCTTCAATATCCAGTTTACAAGTATATGCAAATTTGACCACCAATTCTAAAATTTCAGAATCTATTTCTCTTATAAGAATCTCATTTTCGTTTCTTTCTCTGAACTGACCGCTGAACATCGTATAAAATACATTACTCGCAGAAGCCAATATATTTCTGTGTGCTTCTATTTTTAAGCCTTCATCTGTAACCAAGGTTACATCACAAAACTCTTTTTCCCTAGAAAAAATGTATCCGTATTAATGTATTTATTTTTAATAGTAGTTAAAAATAAATTAGTTATAAATAACTAAAAGTTTTAAATGCACTTAAGTTTTAGTGGATTGATATTTCATTTGGATAAGTTTTGGATAGATCCACGTCAAGAGTTATAGGCCGAGGTATGGTCACGGCAGCTGACCAGTGGAGACCATTATCGTCCTGAAAATGGACTCTGCAAAGAGTCCAAATTGCCGGCCTATTGACGTTAATATATCCGAAACTCATCCAGATAAATGATAAAATATTAAAAAACCTTTTCTGACAAGCAATATCAAAATATGCAATACAAATAATGGAATAAAAACTTTTCTTTTTAAAGAATTACATTTTTAAATTGAGAATAATGTATTAAAAATGTTGACCAGTCGATAACCAGTTTTAAAAAACCATTTTTGAAATTATTGAAGTTTCAAGTTCAGGGCATGAGGAAAGGTGGGTGAAGTATTAATTTTATCTGCGAGCATTTCCTAACCTCATTACCCCTCCCATCCTAACTTCTAAACTCTTATAACTTGAAAAATAGTTATCCGCAACTGGTTATCGACCAGTCGAAATGTTTAGTACATTATTCTCAATTAAAAAAGTTAATGAAATGTATGCGTTACTATTTAAATTTAAAAAGGAGCTAAAAAAAAAAACTAGGTCGGGAGGTAGGTAAAAACAAAAATAATTAAAAATATTTTGATCATATTGTATAAAAACTAGAACCGGAACCTAGTCGAAATTACTTGTATCGGTTATTTTTGGAAACCGATATTAATACCATAATAATCAGTGGTAGGTTATATGAAATATTAGTTTTGTCGGAAATCGGTTTTGTTTTGATATCGGTTGATATTGCAAAAGATTTTTAATTTTTAAATATATTGGGAATCGGTTTTTTATCGGCAACATATATCGGAACATCGAGTATTGGTCCATCCCCAATTATAAACAATAAAAAAATTTAAATTAAATTTCATATTAATCTCTAAGAGATATTGAGTGGCTCACGAAAAGTATGGTACACCCCTGGAATGTACTCTGCTATATTATTTAAAAAGGCACAATAAAAATACAAACATTAATCGGTAATAAATAATACTTGTACAATTACACTCATACTTACTCATAGAATTGGTAAATTTTTTCAAAGTGTTCGTGCATAATAACTTCCATAATTGTTTTGCTTGTATTACAATATAGATTATAAATGTAGCTTTTCTGTGTTTGATTGTTAACTAATTGTAAAACTAGCTTATCTAAAACACATATAAGATACAAAATACAAATTATTTTTTATTAAAAAGACAAGGGAAAATAAAAAGTTTATAATCAAACACATTAAGTAGCCTAATTTTAAATAAGTGTATCTCAAATGCTTTTTGAGGGAAAAAATATCATGTTTGTTATTTAAAAATAATAAATAAGCTGATGAAATTGTTTGACATTGTCGTTTAATGGTCACAGTGATTAATATGCTATGCATGAAACTAATTACATTATTTGAATAATAAAAAACCGACAAAGTTTTGAGTGGTATATTTTGATTTTTTTAACATTTAAAACAAAATTGTAATTTACTTAAATTAGATAAATAATACAAAACTACAAGTATGACTTGTTGGTAAGAAGATAACACGATAAAGATTAAAGCTAGACCATTTTGTCGATTAGATAATTTAAAAGTCTCGTATCACTCGATTCAACTCCGAGTAAATAATAATTAATAAATAAACTATAAATTATGATTCTGTTTATTCCCAAGCAGTATTCTAAGTCAATGAAAGACAGAAAACACAGCAATAGTGTAAATAAGTTAGAAGTACAAAACAGTGGGTACTTACACAACGTAGAACCGTAAACTGCTGTCCAGGGCTGCTACTTAAAATGTATAATAAATGAATTACAGGCAAGACAATACTCAATTGTAACTCAAAAACTAAACACGTCGCAATACGTTAGGTATTTATCATAGAATTCGACTAAGTTATTATGATTGAAATCTAGAGATTTTTCACGAATCGTACCCGTAGTAACAATAATGAAAACAAATTGTTACTATGGCGCTAAATCTAATTTAACTAGTTATAATTTACAGAATGAAGAGTGCAAAAAGAAATAGCAACTAGGTTTTAACAACAACAAAAATGGCATTCAATAATAATATTGATTTTAATGCAAATTGCACGACAACGCTAAATTAATATTCTAGACAGATAACAGATTTGTGATAGTGTGTGTGTTTGTGTGATAACGAGTGATTTCCACAGATGGAGGTAAACTAACGCGCCATTTTGGAAACAAACAGATCAAATTCCCAACTCCGGTAGGACATTTTTCGCAATGTATTCTAACTATAGTGTATAACTATATTAATAGGTACAACAATGAGGAATCGGTGTTTTTTTGACAGAATACAATAGTCGTTTTTATAGAAAAATTTAATTTTGTTCACGTCATACAAATTTTACGCAAATCAAAATCCAAGTGTCTTAGAATTGTTGTAAAATAATCAAATTTTCATAGTTGATACCAGAAAGTTTTTCTGTGCTAAAGATTTATACATTTTTTATTAATCAATGCACTATTATTTAAAATTTTATTAAAAAATATTAAAAAAATCCTAAAATTTTTAAATTGTAGGCACAGAAAAAAAGTGTTCAAATAAATCATCAGACATTATTAAAAATAAATTCAATAATTTCAATAAAAATAGTAAAAAAACGTACTATGTAGTAGTAGAAGTAAGTAAATAAAATAGGGACGAGGTCCAGTATTCACATATAAAAATATAAATATCGATAAAAGCATTGTAACTAATGACAATTATGTGCTTATAACTTACATTTTAGTGTTAGGATGGATACGATTGGGGTTGATAGACGATAGTCTGTCTATAAAATGACTGTGACAATCAAAAAAAAATTTAAGTAAATATCTTATGACTTCAGACTTAAGAGTATTATCATTAAAATTATTCTCATACAAATATATTTTTTTTTGATAGTGAGGTTTTAACCAATAGCCATTTGTTTTCTTGATTGTCGTATCTTCAACAATGAGTTTGTCTAAAATTATTCACAAACATTAATTATTAATTTTTCTTGATAAGAACGTTTACATTTTATAATGATGAGTAAAACAATGTTGTAACTATAGCGAAATAACGTAATTTCAACACAAAAATAAAAGCAAGCTTTTAGTGATATTTAATTTAAATTATTTAAAAGTTTAATTAACTTATGTATAGTTGGTTAATAAATCGATGGATCGAATGTATACAAAACTGACCATATAAAAATCATGAAAGAATACTATATGCAGTTTTACTAGGCATTACAGTAATAACTGTAAATAGCGTCCACAACGATTTATCATCTTGCATTTTGCATATTATATTATGCTACACAAAACCGTTTGTATTGTTGATAAGACACAAAATAAGTGTATTACAGCTAAGACCGTGTACAATTAGCTTCAATATTAAAATAGAATACCACGAGTGGGTTTAAACTTAATTCAGTTAAGAATTTATCTAATTTTGTTACTTGAATCGCTTTATGCAAAAAGAACCTATGTCAACATTTTATCAACAACGTGGTTATTACAGGTTCGTTATCACTTTATACTTAGACGCATTGATTCATGTTTAAACGGCTTTAGTCCATTACTAACAAATTAGACACAAAATTATTGATTTTTGTAAGAAGGGTCTAAGTCCACTAATGCTAATAATCTGGACTGCATTTGAAAATAATAATATTGTTTCACAGAATGTAATTTAACTGTTTAATATCTATTAACTTTGATGAATCCCTTATATGTTGATGCATTTTGAAACGTTTCAAAAGTTTAAAGTTAAGGATCAAGGCCTTTTTTGCATGAGACGATTCACTTAGCAGTGCCTACTTAAAAATTTAAAAAAAATTGTATATTTATAATATTTTGAATAAAGTAAATTGGATATAGATAATAACGTTATTCATAATGAATATTTTGGAAATATTGTGAAAATACTTTATTGTTTTAAACCAAGCGAAAACATATTTAACTATTTAGTATTTTAATAAATAATAGAAACAATATAATAACATGCTTATTATTTAACGTGTAATTAATATAAAAGTGGCAAAATTAATCAAAAAAATATTCATACAGATGAAAAAATAAAATAAAAATATAAAAATAGTTTCCACTTTCCATAAATATGATTAGTCGGACAATATTAATAAATATTTTAAATTAAATATTAATACTCGTATACTATACATAGTTTCTCTTTGAAACAAACAGTAATTATAAAAAAAACTATTACCAAATAATATAAAACGTAATTTTTATAACTATGATTAATTGGATATAACCAAGTACAAATTTGAAATTAAAAAATATAAACTTACATACCTTAATAACTTTTTTTCTTTAAAATCGCAACAGTAATTATAAAGGACTATTGTAATATTTAAACAAAATAACAATGAAAACCATATTATCAACTATTTTTCATGTGTAAATTATGGAATAAAAAAATTAAATAATATAAATATAAAAACTATATAAATTATATAATCCTACAAAAGAATTATAAGATATTAAATCCGGTTAGATTAGGTATGTATGTGTGAATGTTTCTTAAGATAACATTGTTGATTGAATTTTTTTCACAGATATCGCATTTATAGGGTTTTTCGCCAGTATGAATACCCCAATGTGTTCTCAGGCTTGATTTTGATGAAAATGTTTTTAGACAAACACCACAATTAAGTAGGTCTACTTTGATTCGAGTATACCCTTTGATTCTGCTGTTTCGATGATTGACTTTATTTTTTGAGGCGCTTTCTTTCCCGTCGAAGTGCTGGAATGCGACTTCTCAATATGCCGGGTTATATGACTTTTGGTTGAATACTTCCTATGACATATATTGCAGTCGAACCGACGTATTTTGTGTATATTTTCCTCAGAATTGGTTTTTCTTATATTATTTGTGGTACTGTCGCTTTACACGGAAAATGAATACTGCAACACGTATGAAACAAAATGTATTTATCCAAGATCAATATATTTTAATGTTTTACAGCAAATATTAATATAACGTTAAATGGACAATACATCAAACAAGCATCATTTTTAAAACTAATTTTAATAATTTTAGATGAACTACACAAATCTACTATTAACTCAATTTTTATTAGATTGTGTTGCTTAAACTTATCCAACAATATATAATGTAACCTTTACATTTTTTAGAATACTGATAATAAACGTCCGAATGCCACAAGATTTGAAACTTGAAAATTCTACTCTGTTTTAAGTCCAATTTTACATTTTAAAAAGTACCTTGAGACATTTCCGATGGTAAAAAAATGTATTTTTTAAAAATCAAACAGCCTCCAGTATTAAACATATTATTTTTTCTTTTAACTGTTAAAATATAGTTTTTATTACAAAAAAATGTCACTTTTTGTATTTTTAAACCATTTTATTAAAGAATTTAAAAAATGTATGAATGATTCCTATATATTTATATTTATAACAAGGTAAGTCTCGTGAGAACTTACGCTCACATAGAGCGGTACTGCAGACATTGATCGGTCATCATACCCACAAGTATATGTTTACAATTTGGTATGATTAAACATTAAATTGATAAGGGAAAGAATGAAGATGTAGTTTTAAAATAACCTGTTATTATATGAACCAGTGCGGTCCCTAATATAAGTTTAATGTTAGCGGAACACTAACAATGATATCAACTACGGGTTTATAGAGGAAAATGACATAATTACATAAGTTTAATTATTTTATTTAAGATTTAAAAAAAAGTAATTAAAATCGCCTTACTCATAAGTATTGTCGACTTCATTCTTTACTAAATACTCCTCTGTTGTAGACATTTCATTCCTTGTGAACTGCACATCTAACGGTTAAGGTGCAATGACTGCAAACGATTTTTCAAAAGAGTGTTCATCTGTTTCATCTTTTTCTTGTTTAATTTTCAACATAATATACCGCTTCAAAACTCTATAATTAACATTTAACTAAGTTATATTTTTGTGCCATTTTAAATATTTCATATTGTAACAAAAAATTGTGATAATAATGATATAATAAACAATACAACTAATGAACTAAATTGCCAAATCTAAAATATCATAAAAAAAAATTAAGAATAATTTAGTTTTCATTATTTGATAAAGAAAAAGCAACCAAGTTTTCAGTAGTATATTTTGTATCTTTTAAACATTTCAAACTAAATTTTAAATTACTTTAATTAGATGAATAACACAAAACGACAAGTATGACTTGTTGATAGGGAGTTAAGATGATAAAGATTAAAGCTAAACGATAGACCATTATGCCGACTAGATTAATTTAATATGGCGTTGATCCCGTATCACCAGGCTCAAATCGACTCCGGTGTACGAAGCTTAGTACCTATCTTTTAGGATACATGAGATTTTATAATTTAATAACTAAATAAGTAATTGGTTTTTTTTTATATTAATAAAGTACTTTGATGCACATGATCAGTTTCCAACAGCTGAACTAAATATATTTTGGTTTTAAACTGTGTTTCATTCACTAATTCGTCAGTTTCGTGCTTATTGTTGGATACATTATAATGCTCATCAACTCAGTAATTAACAAAGCCTAAATTATTATTTTCCTTGTATGTTCAGACTTTTATCTATAATAAAAAGATCAATAAACTTGTCTGTTGTGTAAGCATAGAAGGTCTATTAGCTAAAAGAGGAGTAAAAATATACAAATATATATTTTTTTAAATACACTAAATTTTGTATTTCTTTATAATTCACTGATATAACATAAACAGTTTCATTTTTATAGAGATAAATATATAAATCACTTATGTGTTATATGTGTAACTTTTAAAATAATATTTACCAGATAATTATTTTAAAATAGTATATATATTTTACTGAAAAATTTAACTGATCAATAACAAGTTTTAAATAAAGTCTAATGTTTTATATAATATAAACCCTAATAATTTATAATAGCTCAAAAACAAACTAAGTATAGAAGAAGTTAAAGATAAGTGGATCAAGTTACTCAAGGAAAGTTCATACTTCGCTTTACTTCTTATAACGTCAAAAATAATTGTTTAAACAATATTATTATTACTAGGTATTTTGAAAATAAATTAGGACATCACTAATTAATTTTCTTTTTAATTACGAAGGACGACAACATTACAAAAACCTAAATATTTTATTTAGTAAAAAAAAGGTAATAAAATCGTCTTACTCATAAGTATTGTCGACTTCATTCTTTACTAAATACTCCTCAGCTGTAGAAATTTCATTGTTTTTGAACTGCACATCTAACGGTTTAGTTTCAATGACTTCAAACGATCCTTCATAGGAGTGTTCTTCTGTGTCATCATTTTCTTGTTTAATTTTCAACATATTATATCGTTTCCAAACTCTAAAATTAACGTTTGGTATTAGTTGTATTTCTGTGCCATATACGCAAAGAGAATTAATAGTACTATTTAATTACATAATTTTAACTATTTTATTTAGTAATAATAATGATATAATAAAGAAAAATTTATTTTACTTAATTTGAAAAATAAACAACCAACAGTTTTGAGTGGTATATTTTGTAGGTATTTTTTAAATATTAAAAACTAAATTTTAATTTTTTTAAATTAGACGAATGACGCAAAGCTACAATTATGACTTGTAGGTAAGAAGCTATGACAATAAAGATTAAAGCTAGACGATAGCCCATTTGACCGAATAGATTAATTTAAATTGTCGTTAATCTCGTATCACTCGATTCAACTCCGAGTAAATAATAAGTAATAAACAAACACATATAGATTATCATTCTATTTATTCCCAAGCAGTATTCCAAGTCAATGAAAGACAGAAAACACGGCAATAATGTAAATAAATTAGATATACAAAACGGTAGGTACTCACACAACGTAGAACCGTAAGCCGCTGTTCAGGGCTGCTACTTAAAATGTATAATAAATGAATTACAGGCAAGACAAAACTTAATTGTAACTCAATAACGAAACACGACGTAATACGTTAGGTATTTATCATAGAATTCGACTAGGTTATTATGATTGAAATCTAGATATTTTCACGAATCGGATCCGTAGCAACAACAATGAAAACAAACTGTTACTATGTCGCTAAATCTAATTTGACTAGTTATAATTCAAAGAAAGGAGAGAGAGTAAAAATGAAATCTCAATTCTTAACAAAAACAAAACTTTTATTTACCACATGCAGAAATTGTCTAGACAGATTTTTGATAGTGTATGTATGTGTGATAACGAGTGATTGGCACAGGTGGAGGTACACCGCAGCATGGAGGTAAACAGTCGCGCCTTTTATGAGAATAACATATCAAATTTCCAACTCCAGTTTCAAAGGTTATTGTAAATTTACTATCATCTACATTCTATCACGTGAATTAATGCGTTTACCTTTGTCTTTATTCGGTATGGAAACACCATTCGCCGACTTGTAAAATTAGTATAATATAATATTATAATTACAAATAAAAATTACTTTTGCATTACTTAAGTGGCTGACGGTTTAGGCATTCATCAACTTGATTATAGTTTGCTTATAATGTTATTCTTTTTGGGTGTCCACATTTGATACAATATGCTGGTCGGTGGTCCTACGTCATTTGACGTTATTTCGGTGATCTTACTAATCGCGTTTAATAGCGGTGTTTTTTATGCATTATATTTTTATGTAATTTTGTATAAACTATAAAAGATTTTTTACCAAATTGGACTGTGTAGTACATTAACGTGTAACCTTAAATTATTAATTATATCTAAAACAAACCTATCCAAAACGGTATAAATGAAAAACGACAAAATCTTACTTGAAATTATAAGCAACGGCAATGTAACCGTACGTCGAAAATTCAAACGTTGTGTGTTTCTTGATGAAGCGTGTACAAAAAAATTAACTGAACAAAAAATGTGCCCGTTAGTTTTATACGGTTTGATATATTATAATAGAACAATCGCATGTAAATGTAAAAAAAAAACTAACGTTTGCTACGCGACCGGCGACTTAACTAAATTAAATTATCAAATCAAGGTCTTTTTTCTAAATGACGATTTGTCTTTATGTTGTTAAATACGTGGTTTCATTATAAGAGAAAATGTAATTATTTGTTGTACCGGTTGATTGGTTAACTATGGACCACTCAATATCTTAAACGATATATTTTTTTATACTTTTATAGTAATTATTAGTTGGGACAAATGTTATATATTTTTAAAAATTTTAACACCATCCCTTATGCGTTAAAACTATATCAACTTTGGATTTTAAATGGTAACCTCCAATTTTTTTTTGATGATCGTGTTTATTTTTTTTAAATTTAATTTTAGGCGTAAAAACTAACTTAATTGATTCAGTAGTTAACAAGCTACACAGTTTTTTAATTAAGGAGAGTGCGAGTAATCAATTTAATATCTTGGAGACGCTATCTTATTTAGGTGACTTGACTGCTCTCTGCAGGGCTGGAGTTAGGGGGGGGGGGGGTTGACACCCCCCCACTCGTTAAACTCAAGTCAGTCGGCATATTTAGATTGAACAAAAAGCCGGTAAATATTAAAACCCTCATAAAATTATACAAATAACATATTTATTATTTTTATTTTATAAAAGTGGGTAGGTACATATTTTTTATCGCAATATGGCGACTGAATAGTCGGCCATACGAAAATATAATTTTTGTTTTTAGTATAAAAAAAAATACATTTTCGGTTATCGCCGATTTTAGCAGAAGTATTATTATTTGTTTGTAATAACTGTGGTGTATGTATCAAACGATGTTCACATTGAAATAAGAAGAAAACATAATATTTCGATGTGATGTTTTGTAGGCTTGTTCAAACAGTCATACACCATTTGCACTAAATGTAATATACCTATAATATTTTTTTTTTATTCTATCTAGAACGATTTTTTTCCAACGTGTGTAGAACTCTTCACCGCAGAGGCCCAAATTTAGGTTTCCAATTGAAATATTGGGTGTAAAAACAGAATTATTTATCATTGTTTTTGGCGTTTTATTTTTCTCGGATTCGTATCGAAGTGAATAACATATGAGTAATAGCCCACACAAAAACACTTTTTTAAATCAATACACAACCACAATAACAATTTTACAAACTTGGAATTTAGCTCACGATAGCATGTTGAAAAACAATATGAAATCAAAGTACTTTTCAAATTAAAAATGTAGGATTAATTTTCGTACTCTAAATTGTTCTTACATAAATCTTATTTAAGCCAACCCAATACCAATGTGGTTGTGGCCAGCCAGATTATGTTTTTCCACAACTCTCGCTCTCTCACTACATGTACAATATAATATACATATATACCTGGACTCACTAGTAACCTGGCTAAAAGTTGTAAAATAATACTAAACGAAACAAAATCAGCTCGCGCCACACTGTGTCTTTAAATGAAACTCCCATTCCCCGATGCTCTCAAATAAAATATTTAGGCTTAATATTGAACGAGCTCCTAACCTGGTCACCACATTTAAAAGAACAACGCAAAGCACTCAACTATCGACTAGATATGCTTCGACCTCTTCTAAACTAAAAAATACCAATAAAAAACAAGCTCCTTTACACTACCCTTTTGAACCCAATATGAACTTATGGTATTATTATCTGGTGATCAGCAAAACCTTCAAACACCAAAACAATTAATATGCCTCTAAATAATCGCAAAGGGCCTTTTGGTATGATCAATTGGTTCACTCCATTCCGGCCTCTAAGACGACTTAAAAGAAACTGGCCCAAAACTGGCTCAAGAACTACTAAAATTAATGTTTTTTTAATCTTATTTGGTGTCTCAACTTTGAGATTCCTTATTCATGTTATTCATTGACTGTTTTGCATTCTTTTTTTTCTTATAAATAGCTAACTAATTTACGTATAGTAAATATTTTATCAAAAATAAAAAAATTATTAATTTTAAAAAGATTTGTTC